TTGTTTAACAACACAAAAAGGTAATTTTTTTGCACATTTACATGTTTCAAATGCGCGGTTTTGACAATGCGCGCTCCCGTCAGAGGCGAGCTTGTAATGGCAGGGTTGCCTTCTTTCGGCACAACACCGGAAGTGCCGCCGCAGCCGCTCTCCCACAGCGGCTCTCTCGGAGCGCGCGGTCACACACCTGGTCGGACCGAGCAGCAGCGTCGTGTCGCGACACAAAACAGCTCCGTACAGGTGAGTCTGCGAGAAGTTTACAGCTATTTCTCGTTGTCAGGAAATAGTTTCAGACAACAATAAAGTGCAACGTTATAAAASAGCAGCAAGCTGTAAGTTTTCAAAGCCTACCGCGCGTGACATAAGATCAAAGCGAGGCGTAAAAAGGACGCTAAAGTTTTTATTGTGGCGAAACTGACTCTAGTTTTCTTTCAACAGCTCCAGGGTAAAACGCTTGAGGAATGCGGTATCACTAGAAAATTGAAAGTTTGTTGTAATTACTTGAAGGTAACTTGTGATTTAGAAAAAAAAGAAAAAGAAGAAGAATCATGGCCWCAGGCGGGTTCAAGCCAAACGCAACGACAAACTTTTTGGAGGAGTGGAAGGCGAAGAGGGAGAAGGTGAGGGCGAAAATGCTGGGGGACATCGCCGCAGCCACCGGCGTCCCCCTGAGTCCCACCGGCAACCCGGAGCGAAGCGCCTCTCCGGGGAGCTGCCACACCTCCTCCCACTCGGCGGCCCAGTCCTCCTCCTCCTCCTCCGGCGGCGCTCCGAACAGACCCGAGGAGGACGCGCAGCACCCCGTCCACACCCCGGCCGGCTCCCTGAAGAAGGCCCCTCCTCAGACGGACAAGGCGTCGCCGGAGCGCAGCCCCAGAATGGCTTGCAACGACAGCGACAAGGAGAGCCCYCCGCCCGGCAGCAGCAAGGGCAAGGAGAAGAAGAGCTCCGGGCCCAGTGCGCGGAAGGGGAAAGGACAGATCGAGAAGAGGAAGCTGAGGGAAAAGAGGAGGTCTACAGGTGTGGTCAGCATACCTTCAAACGAGGTGAGTCTGCAAACCCCTTCATGCCTAAACAAACAAACAAACACAAACAAAACAAACAGCATTTTTCTTTTTGGCTTTGAAGTGAAACAAGTGAGTTTCCCCTCATTGGGTTTATTTCTGGAGCATCCTGCTTCAGCTGCAGGCCGAAGTTGGAATAAAAGTGAAACTTTTTTTGCAGGATAAAAGTTCGTGGATCATGTTTGCCTCTTGTGTAACAGAATGCATCAAATTTAGAATTAAGGTATTTGATTTAAAGCCAGCTGATTTAAAAAAATGTGAGTTTTTTTTATATCAACATGGCATTGTCTAGACCAGTGGTTCCCAAACTTTTTGTCTTCTGACCCACAAAATATCCATGGCAAAACCTTGTGACCCCAAATATCACTGGTCTGAGTACAWGAGATTCATTAATAACCCTAAAAACACAGGCTTTTTGACAAGCTAAACAGCTTATACACAAATATAAATACTTATTTATACTTATTTTGTGTTTTTTGTAATAATTATAGGGAAAATATTACATCAGCAATTATTTTATTACCTTTTAAATTGATTTCTGGAGATTATCCAAGGTGCTTCAT